GCAATTCTAACTAGTTCCCAAGCAATGCTGGTTCTATTGGTCTGGTGACCAGTTTGAAAACCTTGACACTGTTTATCAGGGTCCCACAGCTACCTCTCATTCCCATGCTCAGATTCTATAAATATATTTAATAAATGAACACTTTGCACCATAATGTGGTTTCTGAGCAGACGAGCCAGTGTGTCAAGTCAGCTCTGATATAAATTAAAATTACATGGTTTTTTTTGTTTTTGTTTTTGTTTTTGTTTTAGATGGAGTTTCGCTCGTTGCCCAAGCTGGAGTGCAATGACATGATCTTGGTTCACTGCGACCTCCGCCTCCCGGGTTCAAGTGATTCTTCTGCCTCAGCCTCCCGAGTAGCTGGGATTACAGGTGCCCGCCACCATGCCAGGCTAATTTTTTGTATTTTTAGTAGAGACGGGGTTTCACCATGTTGTTGGCCAGGCTGGTCTCAAACTCCTGACCTCAGGCAATCCACCCACCTCAGCCTCCAAAAGTGCTGAAGATTACAGGCATGAGCCACCATGCTCAGCCTACATTCATCTTTAATCTGTCTCTTGTGAGTTTGCTTTTTTGGGGATCAGATTTCCAGGACCTGATTATCTCTGGGTGGACTAACAACATCCAGTGGAGGCCCAGTCCGTGGAGTAACAAGGGTGACTCCACCTCCAGAAGGTGGGGTTGTCACAGTTTGAGGGCCATCAAAGTAGCACCTAGGGTCACTCAAGAGGTCAGCAGACTCAAGTGCCACTGTCCCCACCAGAACATCCTCAGCCAAGAGATAGGGGCAGGTCAGAGACAGAATTGCTGTGGCTCCCTCATCGTCCAAACCTGGAATATAATTTAGATTAGGAGGTGGACCCACACAGAATTATAAAGATGTTAGGAACGGAAGCATTAGTAGAGGGAGACCAGAAGTACAACCAAGTCTCCCTTCTTCCATAGAAGCCTTTCCTATTTCAGACAACACCAAGCTCCCTATTCTGTGAACATCCATTATACTTTCTCATTCAGCAAACATTTGCTGAGCACCTATGTGCCAAGCACCTGTGCTGAAAGCTGTGGAGGCTGACAGGATTAAGACATGGTCCCTCCTGGGGCCGGGCGCGGTGGCTCACGCCTGCCTGTAATCCCAGCACTTTGGGAGGCCGAGGTGGGTGGATCATGAGGTCAGGAGATGGAGACCACCCTGGCTAACGCGGTGAAACCCTATCTTTACTAAAAATACAAAAAATTAGCCGGGCGTGGTGGCGGGCACCTGTAGTCCCAGCTACTCGGGAGGCTGAGGCAGGAGAATGGCCTGAACCCAGGAGGTGGACCTTGCAGTGAGCTGAGATCGCGCCACTGCACTCCAGCCTGGGCAACAGAACAGGACTCCGTCTCAAAAAAAAAAAAAAAAAAAAAAAAAGACATGGTCCCTTCCTCCCCACAGCATCACATCCTGTGACTGTGTCTTGGTCTTACCTATTGCTCCCTTCCCTTGCAGCTGCACCCAATCAGGTAAGTCCTCACTGACTCTTCCTTGGTCTCACTCGAAACCTAGCATATCCCACACCCCACCCCAACCCCCAAAAAGCACAGTATAATTCTTTTTTTTTTTTTTTTTTTGAGACAGAGTCTCGCTCTGTCGCCCAGGCTGCAGTGCAATCGTGCGATCTCCACTCACTGCAAGCTCCACCTCCCGGGTTCACGCCATTCTCCTGCCTCAGCCTCCCATGTAGCTGGGATTACAGGCGCCCGCCACCGTGCCCAGCTAATTTTTGTATTTTTAGTAGAGATGGGGTTTCACCGTGTTAGCCAGGGTGGTCTCGATATCCAGACCTTGTGATCCACCCGTCTCAGCCTCCCAAAGTGCTGGGATTACAGGCATGAGCCACCGCGCCCGGCTAATTCTTATTAGTATTCCCAAATCACAGCTAGAATCGTGTCACTCTTTTGCTCAAAATGCTTCAGCTCCCCATTACCAACTGAATAAAATCCAGACTCCTTGAAGCCTGACCCAACTGTAACACCCACTACTCTCCTTCTCACACTCCACCCTCCCCAAATTGGATGAACTCCTCTTCTGTACATGCCCCGTAATGTCTCCTCACTTGGTCAGGTCACCTCCATTTAGAATGTCCTTCCTGCCATCCTTAAAAGGCCAGTTCAAATACCACCTATGGCAAAGTCTACCCAATGTCTCATATCTAAAGATTGTTCTCTGAATGCTTACAGCCTTTTACCCTCACTTATCTGAAGACATTACTATTCTCTTATATCCCCTTAGCAGCCTGTAAGTCCAAGAACAAGATTTATCCTTGTACCCCTCTGTAGAATTCTGCACAGGGAGGATACTCAGATATTTGTGAGTGAACAAAACTCTAAGGCAGAACGGAATACTGTCCTCACCTAGGAAAGGGCTGTGCAAAGGTGCAGTAAAGGAAGAAAACTGATTTTGAAAAACATAAACTCAATAAGGGAAAAGATCTTCATTTTGTTCATTGATGTGTATTTAAAACAGTGCCTAGATAACAGGGGCTCAATATGTATTTGGTCAATGAAAGAAATGGATGAGGGAAGCTTTCACAGAAGGGGCTTATAAACCAGAACAGTGAAAAATAGTGTTTGGTTCAGAGGACGACACTGCAGAGAGGGAAAGAGCACGGCTTATTCAGTAAGACAGGAGGCCAGACGTGGTGGTTCACAGCTGTAATCCCAGCACTTTGGGAGGCTGAGGCAGGAGGATCGCTTGAGCCTAGGAGTTCGATACCAGCCTGGGCAATATAGTGGGACCCTGTCTCTACAAAAGGTACAAAAATCAGCTGGGTGTGGTTGGTGCACACCTGTAGTCCCTACTACTCGGGAGGCTGTGATGGAAGGATCCATTGAGCCCAAGAGGTCAAGGCTGCAGTGAGCTGTGATGGTACACTCAGCCTGGGCAACAGAGACCCTGTCTCAAAAAATTTTAAAAATAAATGAATGAATGAATGAATGACAGGAAGCCCAATGTGGCAGCAGCATAGAGTGAAAAGAGAAAAAAATGCAGGGTGACGCAGGTTGTCAGTCTTGAGTTCTATACTAAAAAGACTGCTCATTATCAGTAGCTGCTGAAAGCCATTGCAAGGTTTTGAGGAAAGTCTACATCCAGTTGTGTGCAAGGACATTAACTCTGGAATCAAAACGGATGTGACTAAGAGCAGAAGACCTACTGGTTACTGAAAAGCTCAGGTGAATGATGACTAGGACCTTAACTTTGGGAACAAGAAGGGTAGAAAAGGCAGGATAGATGAGTCACTAACATTTGGCATTTAATTCTTCCCTGTTGACTTCAATCTTTCTAACTTCATCATCCCTGTCCTTCTGACAGTCCATTTCCTGTTTTCTCCTCAGCACCTGGCAGAACAGGCTTCCAATGAAGGATGGCAGAAGCAGGCAAGAAGAGGCAAGTCCTTCCTATCCCATAAGACAGAGCCTCTGCATGCACAGAACCACCTGGAGAGCCTGTTGAGATGCAGATTCTGATTCGGCGGCCTAGGTGGAGCCTGAGTCTGCACCATTTCACACTCCTAGAGGATGCTGCTGCTGCTGCTGCTGCAAGCTGAGAGCCCACACTTCAGGACATAGAATCCAGCTTTGACAGAGTTCTTAACTACAGAAGCAATACCACCCCACAGCCAAGTGTGCAGCTCTGAAGCAAGATGGTCTGAGTTTCCATCACCTCTGCCATCTTACTTCACTTCTCAGGCCTCCTCCCACATCTCATATGGAAAATTAGGTAAAATCATACTCACCACCCAAAACTATGAGGACTTGTTTTCATGGAAATAAATAGTGCCTAGCACACAAGTATTCAACAAGTGTCAGCAGGAGTCCAATTGCTTGATACAATTATTTCCCAGCCTCAAGGAAAACTTAACTTTATTGGAGAAGTAGGACCATATTCTGTGCTTCACTTTTCCCCACAATGCAAGGCCTAAGGCTGGTCACATTAGAATGCTCAACAATTGGGAAGTAAGAGTAACTAAGGACAGAGAGGGTATCTATAAGGCAAAGGCTTGAGGGTAAGAAAAGACTGCAGAAGAAACTTAGGAAAGAAACTCAGGAAAGAAACTCCAAAGGTTTTCCTGACGAAGCTACTACCCACCTCGCACGGTGCCGGCCCTACAAGGATTCCCTCCACGTTCAGTTTCTGTAACAAGACAATCCTATACCTTATAGCAGTGGGCCCCAACCCCTGGGTTGTGGATCAATACTGGTCCATGGCCTGTTAGGAACCAGACCACACAGCAAGTGAGCTCTGCCTCCTGTCAGATCAGTGGCTGCATTAAATTCTCATACAATGAACCCTATTGTGAACTGCGCATGAGAGGGATCTAGGTTGTGCGCTCCTTATGAGAATCTAATGCCTGATGATCTGAGGTGGAACGGTTTCATTCCAAAACCATCCCATCTCCCACCACTGTCTGTGGAAAAACTGTCTTCTATGAAACCAGTCCTGGTGCCAAAAAGGTTGGGGACCTCTGCCTTATAGCAACCCAAGTTTCCTTCTATTTGTTCACTCTCCCCATGGCAAACTGTAATGTCTTTAACGTGTCTCCGTTGGTCCTAAGTGTTCTTACAAAATGTATTGTGTGCATGCATTTTTAATTTATATAAATGGTGTTATATTATAGATCTCAATTTCTTATCTTTTCCCCTCAGCATTGTGTTTAAGATGGATCCAGATGGCTAGGCATATATCTAAGCCAATGCTCGTAACAGCTGCCTGGCACTCCCTGGGGTACCCACATTTCACCTACTCTTTTTACCTCCCAATAGCCATCACCCAGACTGTCTCCAGGTCCCCTGAATATTCTCACCCATGCCACATGTTGTTTTCTGTCCTAGGTTTAAGTGAAAGTGCAGGTCAGGCTGTACCATCAGTCCTTCCCTGTCATCACTCCAGGTCAGGTGCCTCTCCTCCACCTTGGCTCCAGGAGAGCGTTCTTGATAGATGGAGAAAAACATCCAGTATGAACTTTTTTTTGTTTTGTTTTGCTAGTAGCAAGTTTTATTCTAGGCAACTGCAAATCATCCAAGGGGATGTTCACATATGACCCCAGAGCCCACTCCCATCCCCCCAGACAGCAGTGGGGCACACATTCAACACTCCTAAGACAAGCATCTGTGTGCTTTTTCTCTACCCTCTCTGGAATAGGCAATCTCAGAATGCATTTGGAAACTGTAATCTGAACCACCTCAAGTAAGGATTTGTGTAATAGGAACAAACTCAAATAACCACTAGTACAAGGTGAACAACCTTAAGTAACAAAGTAGTTTTCTACTCTGGGAGGCTGCAGAACACAGCCAGGAGGAGGTGGGAAGAGGATAGGGGTATGCTGAGACACCATAAGTCCCAGACCACAGCCATACCATCAGCAACTTCACTGGAATCTTTCTTCTCAACAGGGGCTGCAGGGTCTACCCCTCCGACTCTTTTCCTCTTGGTCCTTTTCAGACAATTTGAGAGCACCAAGCACCACACCAGGGAACCTAGCACTGTGTCCCCTGCTCTCTGGCCTAAGTAAGCGTCAGTGGGCTAAAAGAGCCCCATTAACAATTCCCTCCTAGAGGGCAGGTCCAGTCCCCAAGTGAGGAACAACTTCTACAACTCTTAAAATGTAAAAAAAAAGCATTGGGCTGTATTCTTTAAAAAATTAACTAAAATCTAATTCCAAAAAAGGTTCTTCAGAGTAGGGTTAAGCAGTTCATTTAAATTATTTCTTCTACTTGTTATTAAACAAAGAGATTACAAAACAAGAAAAAATGGAGGGTTACACTTCCCAGAACTCTTCCAGGCAGCTGCTCACCCCTATGGCCCAACTCAACCCCGTGGGAAGACATGAAATGCCAGGACGAGCCCTGGAACCAGCCACCAGTCCCTGTGGGGTCAGAACGCCAACCCCAGCCCACAAGCATTGGCATGAATGAGAAAACCAGAGACCTGAAGGTGCCAAGAAACAGCAAACTTGGCAGCAGGGTAAAGACCTGGCCTGGACTCTTCTTCCACGGGGTTTTCAGGATAGCCTTTGGGCTTGGCTTGGTACTGGGACAAGGGAAGGCAAATCAGAAACAACTGCCCTCAGGAAGAACTCCGTCCCTGACTGCAGTGTCTCTTTGGGGGAACCAATGCCACCCCCCTCCGCCCCCCAGACGGGCGAGGGGCTGCACCCTTAAAGCAGGCCATTGGGCCTTCCGGGCTCCAGGGTCAGCCCGCCCCGCTCCCGTTGGTGGATCTTCTGGTGCTGCAGGAGGTGCTGCTTCTGGACAAAGCTCTTCTCACACTCGGTGCAGCTGTAGGGCCGCTCGCCCGTGTGGATGCGCTGGTGCCGCACCAAGTCAGATGGGTGACTGAAGCTCTTGCCACAGTAACCACAGATGAGGGAACTCCGGCTTTTCCTCCAAGGGATGTGGCCAGGCAGGGCAACCAGGCTGTTGGGTGAGAACCTCTCCTGGACATGTTGGCTGGCACTGGGCCCCTCCTGCAGGTGGCAGCGCTGATGGGTCACCAGGCTCACCTTGCAGCTGAAGCTCCTCAGGCACACATCACACTGATGTCGCTTGGCCTTTTTGGTCTGCGGTTTCAGCCGTGGCCTGGGCCTACGGCTCTCCTCTGGCTCCTCAGGTGTACAAGACTCCCACCCAGAGTGGCTGCTCAGATGTGTGGCCAGCTGCTGCTTATAGCGGAAGGTGATCTCACACTCAGAACATTCGTAGGGGCGGGAAGTGTCCTTTTTCAGCGTCAGGCCCTGCCCACATTCCTGGCCCAGCTGTACCTGCCTATGAGATTTCTGCTTCGGGCAGCCCACAGTTCTGCTGCTGCTAGGATCTCTACCACCAACAGGCTCCTGTAGAGTCGAGTCCCCAGGACCTGTTTCCAGGAGGACAGAACTGCCCTGACCACCCCAGAGCTCAGTCTGCTCCGGGCTCAGGAAAGCCTGCTCTTCAGCAATGCATGAGAACTCTCCAGGAAGATCCGCAGGGCCTTCCTGTGTATACTGTAGCTCCTGTTTGATCATGACCCCACCTGCTGCAAAGTGGAAGAAGACCAACAAAAAAGATCACATTCTAGTACCTTTGGTTTCTTCAGGACCAAACAAACATCTGTCAATTTCAGAAGCACCCCAGGAATAAGTGAATTAGGACAACATGGAGGAGGATGACACTGGCTAGGTTCCAAGACTTGTATAAAACTATTCATGTATAGTTTTTCCAATGTTGATTGGAAATATCAATGTACTACTCTTATAAAATACTGTAAACTATAGTTCTCCAAGCTTGTCTACAAATTTATATTTAATCTCTGGGAAAAATGACAGAATACACTGTAACAACTATACTAAATTAAGAGTGTTAAAATAACACATCTGAAGGATTAAAGACAAACTAAACCTACAGCTTAAAAATTCATGTCCAGCTCTGTTCTTCCTCCATAACCTCCCAAATTACCTAGTGACAAGTGCTTTTCCTGCACTGCCTTCCCTCCTGAAGCTCTGACATGCCCACACTCAATCTCCAGCAGGTTTTGACTACTGCCTAGTATGGTACGCTATTCTGTAGAGCATGAAGAAGAGTGATTGATGTGGCCGTTAGTCTTAAAGACCCCACAGGATGGTAGGAGTTGAGGCACATGTAACAGCTGAACTAACAACAATCATAAAGGAGTCCAGAACAAGCAAAGCCAGATGAATTTACCAAGTCAGCACCTGGCAGGTCAGCCATGGGAAAGCTCACTCTAGGCTGCAGAGGGCTATGGAAGGGAACAGAATATTCCAGAGCCACTCACCTGGGTGGGCACCACCAGGACCTTCCTCTTCCAAGTCACCCAGCATCTCTGTACCCAACTCCGCTTCTCCCTCTGTCTGGCCAAGGACCTCTGGGTGGGGAAACAGCACGGTGTGAGTCCAGGAGAGAGCAAAAGCTCACTGCACACTGATCAGCTGCCAATGACCAAAGTGACCAATGGCAGGGAGAAAATACTAAAGCTTCAACAGATTCAAAGGCTACTGCTCATGTCAGTTTCCCCTAGCAGTTTGGGACAATCATAAAATTCTGGCCAATCCTAACAACTGACTTGGCTAGCTGCTACCTCCAGTGCTCCTCCATTAGAGGGCCTGTGGCTCAGGCAGGCAGGCAGGTTACAGAGCCACCACTGCCCCTGATGGCACCACCACCCACCTCTGCCTCTCCATGTGTGTGCAGTTTAAGTCTTGCCAATGCTTCCTTTTGGGGGATCTAATTTCATCCTTGCTAAGGCACTGCAAGGTAAGATGGACACTGGGACAGAAAAGGAAACAGTCCCAGTGAGAGCATGTGACCCAACCAAGCTTACAAGGTCACTTTTCTGGCCCATTTTCTATTTTCTTTATCTCTTACTCTGCTCCAGGCACTTGACACTCCTCCATGTACCTAGGTTTTAAAAGACTTTGTCTACCAAACAAAACGCATTTATTATGTAATAGGTAACATTTTGCATATAAAGACTTATACCTATTAAGTAGCACTTCTAATCAACAAGCAAAAATCATTGAGACCACAATGACCAGCTATAATTCTGGCCAAACACCAAGAAAATGCTTTTGGTCAGCCTGTGCTGCTTGCCTCATCCAAGGTAACACAGGGTTGTCAAATCATCTTTTTTCTTTTCTTTTAAGCGAAGGAGATTTCACTATGTTGCCCAGGCTGGTTTCAAACTCCTAGCCTCAAGCTATCCTCCCACCTTGGCTTCCCAGTGTTGGGATTACAGATGTGAGCTACCATACCCATCTCAAATAGTCTTAAATATTAAAAACAGCATGGGAGGCCACGTGCGGAGGCTCACGCCTGTAATCCCTTTGGGAGGCCGATGCAGGTGGATCACTTAAGCCCAAGAGTTCAAGACCAACCTGGGCAATATAGTAAGACCCACGTCTCTAAATAAAATTTAAAAATTAGCCAGGTGCAGTGGCATGTGCCTGTAATCCCAGCTACTTGGAAAACTGAGGTGGGAGAATCATTTGAGCCCAAGCTGTCAAGGCTGCAGTAAACCGACACCATACCACTGCACTCCAGCCTAGGTGACAGAGTCTCAAAAAAAAAAAAAAAAAAAAAAGGATAAAACAGGCCTGGCACAGTGGCTTACACCTGTAATACCAGCACTTTGCAGGGCCAAGGCGGGCAGATCATGAGGTCAGGAGTTCAAGAGCAGCCTGGCCAACATGGTAAAACCCTGTTTCTACTAAAAATACAAAAATTAACTGGGCATGGTGGTGGGCACCTGTAATCTCAGCTACTTGGGAGGCTGAAGCAGGAGAATCACTTGAACCCGGGAGGCAGTGAGCCAAGATCACGCCACTGCACTCCAGCCTGGGCAACAGAGCTAGACTCTATCTCAAACAAAAAAAAATAAAATAAAATAAATAAAAAAAAACAAATCAAAAAACAACATGAGGAACCCTAGCCATATCACACTGTAGGGTATATGACATTTTATTTATTAGAAAATACTATCAAGAACAGACCATGTGACCACAGAAAAGAAACACAAAGGGCACAACGCCGAGAGCTTTCCAAAAGTCTCTGTAAATGGGAGGACCTAGAGACTTGCATTTCTCCACCCGTGCAAGCCAACAGAGGACCCACAGCCACAAGAGCCACAGGTGTAGTCTGAATTACAAGCTACCGGCCAGGAATTGTAGTATGTCTGAGACAGAATTCTAGGGAGAAAACTGCTACTCACTCAGAGAGACCAGTGTCTCATAGTTACTCTCCATCACATTTCTGTAGAGCTCCTTCTGCCAGTCCTCCAGATTCTCCCATTCCTGCTCGGTGAAACAGACGCCATCATTCTCCAGTGACCTGGACACCTGGAATCACCAATGGCACACCGTGAGTGCCTCTACTCACAGCTATGACAGAAAAGCCAGCAACTGAGGTGCTTACATATTAAAGGGCTGGCTCCCCCTTCTCTTCTAACTTTTAATCCTCAATGAGACTACCTTGGGGGACTCCCCCTTGCTGCCCGGGGGCAGCCGCAGGATCCAGAAGTTCCTGTTGCGCAGCAGGTTCTCCACGTTCTCCAGCCGCCTCTGCAGCAGCCCGTACTCCTGCAGCAGGGTCCCCAGCACAGCCCACTTGCCCTCCAACTGGTTCCCAAACTCCACGGCCATCTTCTCACAGTCAGCCAGCTTCTTCTCAGCTGTCCCCGTGCGTCCCTCCAGGCTCTGTAGCCGGGCAGCCTGGGACTCCATCTTCTTCTCCACAGCCTGAATAGCAGCCACCACCGTCCAGAGTGAGATCTCGGTGGTCTGAAAACAGGAGCTTTTCTCTGTTGCTTGTGAAGGAAGTGTGGAAGAAGTTAAAGGTGTGGAGCGTCGTTTTCTCCTGTGCTGAAAGATCAAAGACACAGAGTCAGAAAATGTCACTTCCAAACATCAAGTAAAGAAAGCAATGTTCAAGTCTATCAGTGCTTAGAGTTACCTAGTTTCTTTTAATTAAAAAAAAAAAAAAAAAAAAGCACATCTGGGCCGGGCGTGGTGGCTCTCGCCTGTAATCCCAGCACTTTGGGAGGCTGAGGCAGGTGGATCACGAGGTCAGCAGATGGAGATCATCCTCGCTAACATGGTGAAACCCCATCTCTACTAAAAACACAAAAAAATTAGCCGGGCGTTGTGGCGGGCACCTGTAGTCCCAGCTACTCAGGAGACTGAGGCAGGAGAATGGCAAGAGCCCGGGAGGCACAGTTTGCAGTGCACCGAGATCGCGCCACTGCACTCCAGCCTGGATGATAGAGCGAGACTCCGTCTCAAAAAAAAAAAAAAAAAAAAAGGCATGTCTTTTATTGATACTAAAAATTATATGTAGATATTGCATTAATAATGTTGGGAAATGCTGAAGAATAGAAAGAAAATATTACACAAAATATTCTCACACAGAAATAAGCTGTTAGGGCTGGCTGCAGTGGCTCACAACTGTAATCCCAACACTTTGGGAGGCCAAGGCAGCTGAATCACTTTAGCTCAGGAGTTTGACACCAGCCTGGCCAACAAGGCAAACCCTGTCTCTAAGAAAAAGTTCAAAAAATTAGCCGGGCATGGGCCGGGAGCAGGCCGGGCACGGTGGCTCACGACTGTAATCCCAGCACTTTGGGAGGCCAAGGCAGGCAGATCACAAGGTCAGGAGATCAAGATCATCCCGACCAACAAGGTGAAACCTTGTCTCTACTAAAAATACAAAAAATTAGCCGGGCGTGGTGGCAGGCGCCTATAGTCCCAGCTACTCGGGAGGCTGAGGCATGAGAATGGCATGAACCCAGGAGGCAGAGCTTGCAGCTTGCAGTGAGCTGACATCGTGCCACTGCACTCCAGCCTGGGAAACAGAGCAAGACTCCGTCTAAAAAAAAAAAAAAAAAATTAGCCGGGCATGGTGATGCATGCCTGTAGTCCCAGGTACTTGGGGCCCTGAGGTGGGAGGATGGCTTGAGCTCAGGAGGTTGAGGCTACAGTGAGCCAAGATCGTGCCACTGCACTCCAGCCTGAGTAACAGAGTGAGACCCTGTCTCAAAACAGGAAGGAAAGAAGGGAGGGAGAGAGAAAGGGAGGAAAGGAAGCTGTTTGAATTTTGGTGTATTTCCTGTAGGCTTTTTTTCATCTTTTATTTTTTTCAACAAAAGTGAAATTACAGTGTGCATGTTTTGTTACCTATGTTTTACGCTTAGCATATTTTCTGAGACTCCTGTATCGGTGTTCATTTTAAACCTTTTATTTAACATTTTGGACTATATGATAAAAGATGTCATTTACATCTTATCTTGCCTCTACATCCCTGCCAGACTTCATAGTTGATCATGTCACCCCTGTTTGAAAACTTTCAATGGCTCCCCACAAGAAAGACAAAATTCCTTAGCAGGACCTACGAGATCTAATCCATTCATCTTTGCACTCTAGCAGCTGGGATGGTGAATAAATCCTTAAAAAATATTTACTGAAATGATGTGACTAAGTCTACTGACATTTTCCTTATAATTTTCACTTTAATGAGCTGTCTCTGACAGTAGGAAAATCGCTGTCGTAGAAGCTAAAATTACTGAAATCAACATTCGGGAAGTCTTCCCCAAGCTGTCCCCCTACTGTCTCCCTGCACGCTCGCTTCAGTCCTAACTCCCTCTGCAAACTTCATGTTCTTTCACGGCTGCTTTCCAAACCACAGTGAGGCCACCAAGACCAAGACACTGAGAGGAAATATCTCGGAAAGAACTGCTGGGGCCAGGGGTCGTGGTCCAGAGAACACGGGACAAAAGGAAACTGACTGGTGCAGAACTGAACACTTAAGTTTGGCCATGACCTACTCTAGTTACTCAAGTCAGTTAATTCATCATGGAACACATAAGACAAAAGCTTAAATACATCCTCCCGCAAAAGATTAAAAGAAAAGTTCAATGTAAAAACAAATACAAGTGAAACAAAACAAAATATTAAACTAGATATATACCTGCCATCATGTTTGTTTTGCCTCTACTTTGAGTCTATGAGTCTCCTCTTTCTGTGGCCCAGCATTCTGTGCTTAGTAGCATGTTTTCCAGACAGGTACATAGGTGAGAATCTTTGCAAAGGAATACGCCCCCTCCTCTTCCACATAGTAAAAGGTTGAAAAGAATGATTAAACTAAGTTTCTTCTTGTCTTCTGTTTTGAATTATCTAACATGATGGGAACAATTCACATGTTCACGAACCAGTGAATGGATGAAAAAATTGTGATCCATCCAATGTCATGGGTTGAACTGTGTCTCCTCAAAATAAGACAGTAAAGCCCTAATCCTCAGCACCTCAGGATGTGATCTTACTTGGAAATAAGGTATTTCCAAGGGTAATCAGGTTAAAATGAGGTCATTAGGATGGGCCTTAATCCAATGACTGATGTCCCTAAAACAGAGGACCTTTAGACACAGAGAGACACACACACAGGGAGAAGATGTCTACTATGGTTTGTCCTCACCAAAACCCATGCTGAAATTGTATTCCCAATGTGGCAGTGTTGGGAGGTGAAGTCTCGTGGGAGGTGTTTGGATCATGAGGGCATATCCCTCATAAATAAATTAATGCGCTCCCACAGGGGTGAGTTGTCATTGGCAGGGATGGATTCGTTCCCACCAGAGTGGGTTGTTGAACAGTCTGACTTCTTCGGTCTCTCCCTTGCCTCCTCTGTCACCATGTGATCTCTGCACACACCGGCTGCCCTTCCACTTTCTACCACGAGTTTAAGCAGCTTGAGGCCCAGCTGCCCAGTCTTGAACTTTCCAGCCACCAGAATTATGAGCCAACTAAACCTCTTTTCTTCATGAATTACCTAACTTCATGTATTCTGTTACACCAATACATAATGGGCCATGTCAAGATTAAGGCAGAGACGGGAGTTATGCTGCCACAAACCAAGAAAACACATGGGACCACCAGAAGCCAGGAGAGAAACACAAACCTCATAAGGAACCAACCCTGCAAACATCTTGATTTCAGACTCCTAACCTCCAGAACTGTGAGACAATACACTTCTGTTATTTAAGCTTCCCAGTTTGTTATACCAGCCCTAGGAAACAAATACACTATATAAGGCACTTCATTATATACCGTATTAGATATTTAGTGTATTTTTCCTATATAGCTTAGTAGACTACTAAGCCTGCTACTTAGTAGTAGACTACCACTTCGACTACTAAGTCTACTACTATGTAATAAAAAGGAACCAAAATCACTGACATGTGTTACAACATGCTAAGTGATGGGAATCAGACACAGGTCAGGCATGGTGGCTCATACCTACAATCCCAACACTTTGGGAGGCTAAGGTAGATCACTTGAGCCCAGGAGTTCGAGATCAGCCTGGGCAACAAAGTGAGACCTCACCTCCACAAATTTTTTAAAATGACCAGGCGTGGTGGCATGTGCCTGTACTCCCAGCTACTTGGGAGGCTGAGGATGGGAGGATCACTTGAGCCCCGGAGTTCAAGGTTGCAGTGAACCATGATTGCACTATTGCACTGCAGCCTGAGTGGCAGAGTGAGACCACCTAAAAAAAAAAAAAGGGCTGGGCACCGTGGCTCACACCTATAATCCCAACACTTTGGGAGGTCGAAGCGGCCGGATCACCTGAGGTTGGAAGTTTGAGACCAGCCTGACCAACATGGAGAAACCCTATGTCTACTAAAAATACAAAATGACCCAGGCAGGCTGGCACATGCCTGTAGTCCCAGCTACTCGGGAGGCTGAGGCAGGAGAATCACTTGAACCTGGGAGGTGGAGGTTACGCTGAGTCGAGATCGCACCATTGCACTCCAGCCTGGGCAACAAGAGCAAAACTCAAAAAAAAAAAAAAAAAAAAGAATTCAGACACAAAAGGCTACATTTGTGTTTCATTTACATGTTTGGAAAAAAGCAAACTATAAGGACAGAAATCAGATCAGTGGCTGCCAAGGGCTAGGGATTGTAGCCTATTAGAATGTCAAAGCAGGAGAATATTATATAAATATTTCCATCATCCAAGAAAGTTCCCTCATATCCCTTTATAATCAGTCTTTTTTTTTTTTTTTTGAGATGGAATCTCGCTGTCGCCCAGGCTGGAGAGCAGTGGCGCTATCTCGGCTCACTGCAAGCTCCGCCTCCCAGGTTCATGCCACTCTCCTGCCTCAGCCTCCCGAGTAGCTGGGACTACAGGTGCCCGCCACCACGCCTGGCTAATTTTTTGTATTTTTAGTAGAGATGGGGTTTCACCGTGTTAGCCAGGATGGTCTCGATCTGCTGACCTCGTGATCTGCCCAACTCAGCCTCCCAAAGTGCTGGGATTACAGGCGTGAGCCACTGCACCCGGCCAATGAATTTCAATTTATAAACATAGTATGCAAATCCTTTTTTTTTTTTTTTTCCTGAGATGAAGTCTCTCGCTCTGTCACCCAGGCTGCAGGCTGGAGTGCAGTGGCATGATCTCAGCTTACTGCAACCTCCATCTCAGGTTCAAGTAATTCTCCTGCCTCAGCCTCCCAAGTAGCTGGGATTACAGGTGTGCGCCACCACGCCTGGTTAATTTTTCTGTATTTTTAGTAGAGACAGGGTTTCACCATGTTGCCCAGGCTAGTCTCGAGCTCCTGACCTCAAATGATCCACCCGCCTCAGCCTCCCAAAGTGCTAGGATTATAGGAATGGGCCACCATGCCCAATCTTTTGAGGCTCCATTTTTAATATCTTTCAATGTTTTAACATATTCCCTAGGTATCTATTCCAATCATCAACTCCTGTATGAAAAATAATTCCCAAATTTAGTGGCTTAACACATCATCTACTTTACACATGAATCTGCAACTAAAGGAGGGTGGCACATGGATATTTGTCTCTGCT